TGACTGAAACATGTAAATATACACTTGAAGGATACAAAGCCAACTTAGCATTTTAAAATGTTAAATATATTTGTCATATATATGTAACTTTGAATTTTAAAAAATTGACAAATTATCCAATCAACATCTTTAGAATGAGAATTGGATTTGAGTAGTCTATAAAACAAGCAGTATTTACAGGGTTTTAATTATTTTTAAAACATTTTAACATTTTTTGTTTTAAAGTTTTCCAAAGCTTTGTACTTGAGATAATACAATTATTGTGAATTTAGCAAAGGTTTGGCCAATTTTACAACTTTTGTCCATATTAACTAGATTTGATAAATATACCAAAGATCTCCTATTTAAAATGATTCATGAAGAGGTGTCTGTCTATCTACAGTTTGTCCTAAGTGGATGAAGCTGTGTAAGAATCACACAGAGAAGAAATCTGCACTGATGTTGATAGTATGCAGCTCTGCTCTCCGAGCTCTTGAAATGATCAGGTAAGGGAAGAGCTTTCCTGACCTCCGGATGTCCAAAGTATCTGTCAGCCACTTTTCTTTTCTCTGAAGTGCAGTAACATTGTTATTGTAGGCAAACGTAGCAACTGATTTGAGGACAACGAGGTTCCACAAAGACAAGTCCATCTGATTCGATGAGATAGTAAGAACTGTCGATGCTGTGGAGTCAGAGATAACACAGTGTGGAGCTGGATGAACACAGTGGGCCAGGCAGCAGCAGAGGAGCAGGAAAGTTGACATTTCGGCTCGGGACCCTTCTTCAGAAATGGGGGAGGGGGAAGAGCCTACAACCCAATGGTCTCAATGTGGACTTTGCCAGTTTCAAAATTTCAACACCTCTGGCCTCATCCCATGACCAATCCTCCTTCTCATCCCCGCCTCCTTGACCTGACACAACCTGTCCATCTTCTCTCCCACCTATCCGTTCCTCCCACCTCACTAACCAATCCCCACCACTGCCTACCTGCACTCATCTATCACCATCCCACCTACCTTCCCCAGCCCCACCCCCCTCTCTATTTATTTCTGAGCTCCCTTCCCCTCCCCCATTTCTGAAGAAGGATCCCGATCTGAAATGTCAACTTGCCTGCTCCTCTGATGCTGCCTGGCCCGCTTTGCTCCTCCAGTTCCACACTGTGTTACATCTGTTTTGATGTTTCGTGTGAGGAATAAAATTTGGTTAAGTAACAAAGAGAGCAGTTTCCTCTGCTTCAAATATAGCATCATGGGATATTCAAGGTCCACTGAACAGGGAGCTTTGGCCTCGGCGTAATGTCACATCCAAAGAAGGGCATGTCCCTAATAATGCAGCAGTTTTCAGCACTGCACGGGAATGTTGAGCTAAAATATGTGTTTAATTTCTGGAATGGAGCTTGAGCCAATGGTCTTTTGGCTTAGAGACAGGTTTGCTACCACTGAGTGAAGCTTTTCCAAAACTACACCTGGAAGCATTTACACATTACTGTAATCACTTATTTTTTTGAAGGGCAATGCCATTGTTATGGTAATACTTCCAGCTTCTTGCACACACTTCCAAACAAAGTTAACTTTGCTAGCTATTACGTTTTCGGGTTTTCCTCCCCCCACAATATCACGGTTTGATGCCAGTTTCCATAAGTAGGCTGGATTTTCTCTGAACTTAAACAGGGATCTTTATTAATTTATGTGAATGATTTAACTTAAATAACTTAATTTCCTATTTAGTGCCCACAGCCCATGGGGGCATTTAAATGATGTCAATGTTGAACTTCACCTGGCCCTCAAGTCTGTGTGTGGAACTGTTTACCCACATTTGGGGCAAAACTTGAAATTCCTGGTCCCCAAAACATCGTGGTATCTTACGCATCATCCTACTGAAGTAATAGTATCTTGCTTAGAATCAGTCAGAATAATTAGACCAAGCCAATGGACCGTATAGCCTTTCAGTCAGCTGATATTCAACTCTAATAGGACAAGTCCTGATGTGAGACTCTTTCACAAAGTACTGATAGACTACAACCAATCAAGAAGCTAATTTCCAGAACAAGCTGGGTCTTTTTGAAAGTATTGGTGATGGGAGTAAACTAGCGGAAAGGAAAAAACAAATTGTGTTTGGATTCACACACTGCAAGCTCTCGCTGTCACAATATTATGCAGCTTATCTCCCATCCACCTTTGCCTATGAACGTTTAATATGTTCACCCAGCATTTTTCTCTCAGCTTCTTAAATGTAGGCTTCAACTCATTTAGAATAAACATGTCATGATGACAATGATTGTATCTCATTTGTTTTGGCAGACTGATTGCAGCTTTTAAAGGTGACTGTAAGACTCTAAAATTATTTGCAAAGCATATAAAGGTAAGCATGCATCTCATTAGAATTTGCACTATTTTAGTTAATATTTAATAGTGGTAGATCATCATGAGGGACTGAGGGGGAGACGATGGCCTAGTGGTATTATTACTGGACTGTTTATCTAGAGAGCCAAAGAGTGTTCTGGGGACGCCGGTTCAAATGCCGCCACGTCAGATGGTGGAATTTGAATTCAATAAATATCTGGAATTAGTGGTCAAATTATGACCACGAATCCATTGTCAGGAAAAGCCTATCTGGTTCACCAATGTCCATTAGGAAAGGAAACTGCCATCCTTACCTGGTCTGGACTACATGTGACTCCAGACCCACAGCAATGTGGTTGACTCTCAACTGCCTTCTGGGCAAGTAGCGATGGGTAATAAATGCTGGGGTAGCCAGTGACGCACTAATCCTGGGAATAAAAAATATCTTAATGTGAATTGGTGAAAGAATTTGGTGGAGACTATTTCTCCTCTGCATCTAAAGACCACGAACAAAATAAGCACTTCCTTACTTTGGATCAGAGATAGTAGGAACTGCAGATGCTGGAGAATCCGAGACAACAAGGTGCAGGGCTGGATGAACACAGCAGGCCAAGCAGCATCATAGGAGCAGAAAGGCTGACGTTTCGGGCCTAGACCCTTTGTCAGAAAAGCGGGAGGGGAAGGGGGTTCTGAAATAAATAGGGAGAGAGTGGGAGGTGGATAGAAGATGGATACGAGAGAGTTGCAGTGGGAGAGAGATCCCCTGAGGTTTGTCTGGAGGGCTTTCTTACTTTGAGTAGCACGGTGGCTCAGTGGTTAGCACTGCTGCCTCACAGCACCAGCGACCCGGGTTTGATCCCACCCTCGGGTGACTGTCTGTGTGGAGTTTGTACATTCTCCCTGTGTCTGTGTGGGTTTCCTCTGGGTGCTCCGGTTTCTTCCCACAGTCCAAAGATATGTAGAATAGGTGGATTGGCCATGCTAAGTTGCCCATAATGCCCAGGGATGTTTAGGTTAGGTGGGTTAGACATGGGAAATGCAGGGGTAGGGGAATGGTTCTGAGTGGGATGCTCTTCAGAGGGGTGGTGTGGACTTGTTGGGCCGAATGGCCTGTTTTCACACCGTAGGGATTCTATGGTTCTATGATGCTTTTGAACAAAATCAGTAAAACCGTAGTAGCGTGGACATTTGCACAACTCCAGTATAACACAGCTCTCGTTTAAATGAGTGTGATTTGTTTTGCCAGTTCCAATCAGTTAACAATAAACAAGGTGACTGTGCAAAATATGATACTTTTAGTCCTCATTTGATCCAGTTCTGTGCTCCACTTGAGACATTAACATTGGATTGTTCAAGTATCTTCAAAATAAATATTGTGGAACGCTCTAGATATAAAACTAAACCTGTCAGCAGTCAGCAAGAATTTACAGAATATTCACCTTCAATGAATTATTTTTCCAAAACAGCAGCTGATAACTAATTTGATGAGAAAGTAACTTGGAAACTTTACTTGACATGATGGGAGACAAATAGGTCCGTGTCAAGATTAGGTGAAAAATACCTGTGGTGTCCAATTTCTGGGCAAATAGCCGTAGTACCTGTTTTAAAGGGAGACTGTATCTACTGGGCATGATACCCAGTTTCAGGAAATTGCTCCTTAACTGTGCAGAGTGGGTGCCACGTATAAATTGAATAAATATGAAGTAAGGGTAAAAAGTGGAGGATATTCCGTACTTGAATACAGATAATGGAAACACTTCTGGAGACTGGGTGTTGGGCGAGAAGCTTTACATTTATGGTGTTTCACTTTGCAAATAAATATAAACTATGCTGAGATTGACTGTGGTCTCCTTCATTAAATGGCTGTCAGAGGTTCAACAGCGTGTGTGCCCTGTTCAGTTTTTCCAAATCTATTGTAACCTGACAAGGTGATCCCCAAAAGTTAACTTTGTTTTATTGCAGTGGTTTTTGTGAAGCCAGGAAGAGCAGGAATTCTTCTCCTGACCCTCCAATAATAATGTGGGCTACTCCCACCCCATCCCCTTTGACTTGATAGCCACCCATGAAGGTGGCTTGTCAGTGCTTGATCACTCAACAGTGAAACAAGAAGATATTTTGAATAATGTGTCTGCCTGAGTTGTTACAATTTGTATTTGTTCTGTAAAGTTATTTTGTTTTTTTACAGAAACTCATCCTATTCCCTTTCCCCTCCAGGTAGAAGACCAGATAAAATGGCTTGCCAAGGGGGTGATACACCTTGGTGTAGGAACACCAGGCCGGATTAGAAGCCTCATAGAGCAAGGTAGAAAATCCCAAACTGTTTGAATGGGTTTGTTTGTATGTCTTCAGGTTTTTCAGCAATTTAATTAATTATTATTCTGCATACAATTAACACCCTTCCACCCCACCCCATTCCACCTCATTCAGTGTGCATTTTGGTTAAAATCGGACATGGGACACATCTGCCAGAATTCTGCACTTATCCCTCAGTCTGCAATTTTAACTTGCTCTTCTGAGAAGGATACACACCAGAAACCATTAGGCTCGATATGGAGGCCGCTCTCAAGTGTTGATCGAAGCTGAGAAGCCTTTAGGCTTTTCCAACAGGTCGACTAAGTGCAAAGAAGAGTTCAGGTCTAAATGGTGAAGCGTAGATTGTTTTGAACATCACCTGTAACACCAGGAGGAGTTCTCTTTCAGGCCCCCATGGAAGGCTAGAAATGTGGCTCCGTGGAGCCCATTTTTTGAGACAACATTTTCCATTTTGTAGCCAAAATAACGTCCCACGTGAACAATTCTGGTGCCAACTGCACTGGTTGCCATTTTGATAAAAGCCAATCAAGAGAATCTTATATCCACAGTAAACCTATTGATATGTGCAAATCAGAGGCCTAATGCCAGCTTCTGCTTCCTTTTCTATCTTTGATGTACACCTGAGGCAGCCAGCACCAATATTGTTTGCTTATGAGCAGACAAATTAGAAAAGGAGGTAGGCCGCTTGATCCCTCAAGCCTGTGCTGCCATTCAATAAGATCATGGCTGTCATTACCCAAAATTCACAGCTATCCCTGATAACTTTTCACCCCCTTGCTTGTCAAGATTTTATCTATCTCTGCATTAAAAACATTCAAAAACTTTAGGTGGAATCTTATAGGCGGCTGAACACCATAAGCTTTGTGAGATTTGAGGCTGAATCATGTGAGAAGTCCAATGAGGCCTATGATAACATCAAGAGGAACACACTTCACCTTTCCTACAAAAGCTGAGTGGTGAGGCGAGATTCACGTAAGACAGGGGCAAGTTGCCTTTTAAAGGGGATTACTGCTCATTAACAACCTTATTAAATGCACATCTTGCTTTATTAATAAGCAGCTTCCTATCTTGCCAAATATGCCAAGCAGACTAGATGCTGGGAATTCTTGACATGGAAGTCAGAATGAGTACCTGGCGACCTCCATTCGTTACCTGCTCGATATTGGACACCAGGCACCAACATCTCAGAGCACATTCCATGGGTTGCAGCCACACATGCACAGGGATTAATATCCATGCCAATCTCTAAGAACTATCATTGCATATCTCTGGTTCACTTACAGTACACTTTTGTTCTTGAATGTTGTACCTCACAACTGCAACTATCATTGTAATGTCCTGCAAGGACACTGTGTGCTCAGAGACACATACCCAGCACAAGGACTGGACCATATTGTATCTCTGGGTTTGTTTGCTTATTATCATAACTCACTGACTGTGAGCTTACCTAGATGCTCAGAGAATCCCTGCCTTGTACTGCCTTGTCTTGCCTTTTTGCACTTTGCTCCCTTAGCCAGACATACTAGACCGCTATCTTGCCTTGCCATTTAGTGCAGACACAAAACCAGGAAGCTTGTCATGGTTGTCAGCAGTCCTCAGTGAAGTGAGGTTAGTGTGTCCCAGCATAAGGCAGACTCCAATACTAGTCCAGGGGCTTGGAACTAGTAAGTCAGCTGCTCAGATTACTCAGAGTTACCATCCTCACCTTGTCAAGACCGTACACTTTTGGTGCAGGTGAGCAGGTAGCCCGACGAAGTGAGTGAGCACTGCAGGGAGCAGACAAGGTTAGTGGTGTTGGGGTTGGGGTGGATGAGAGCAAATGGGAAGATGCTGCAGGCTATAGTGAGAATGGTAAAGAAGGACAATGAGACCATAAGATATCGGAGCTCAATTAGGCCATTCGGCCCATCAAGTCTGCTCCACCATTCAATCATGGCTGATATGTTTCTCAACCCCATTCTCCTGCCTTTCCCCATAACCCTTGACCCTCTTACTAATCAAGAATGTTTCTCTCTCTCTCTTAAATATAATTAATGACTTGGCCTCCACAGCATTCTGTGGCAATGAGTTCCACAGATTCACCACCCTCTGGCTGAAGAAATTCCTCCTCATCTCAGTTCTAAACTGTCGTCCCTTCACCCTGAGGCTGTGCCTCAGATCCTAGTTTCTCGTACCATTGGAAAAAATTTTCTCCATGTCCACTTTATCTAGGCCCCTCAGTGTTTTGTAAGTTTTGATCAGATTTCCCCTCACCCTTCTAAACTCCACCTCACCCCAGTACAGGCCCAGAGTCCCCAGTGCTCCTCGTATGACAAGCACATGTATCGATGGGAGGTGGCTACAGATAGAGTGAATGTGAGGTACCAGAAAGAAGATGGTGGCACTTATGCTGGTGAATTGGAGAACGTCGTTGATCTTCTTCCTCCAGATTTTCAACACTGCACCAATAGAGGTGGCAACCTTGGGCCAAGCTGGCATGATCTGATGTCATAGCCTCAAGTGCCAGTCTTTGGGGAAGAGCAAGTCCCACTTCATTCAGGAGAACCTCCCTGCGTGTGAAGCAGGGTAACAAAATACCCTTGTGTGCCGTATCTGGGGCAAATGGACGGTTCTGGCTTTATTGTGCTTGTCCAGGTTCACAAAGGGTTTTTAGTGGTGACACTGGTGTCAGGATACTAGTCAATTCCAGGATATCCAGCAGAGCGAGTTGTTCTGGGACTGACATGTGACAAGAGCGGTGTCATAGGGCCATGGTATGTAGTTAATGATTTGTATTTGGTGAGAGGCAGCAAGAGGTTGCACTAGGCCTCACGGCAGGACATCCTCCAAAAGACTCAACAAAACTGACACTTGGTCAAAAATGTAAGATTCAGCCCTCTGTTTTAATGGCATTCGGTGCATGAGTTCCAAAAACATGACTATCTGAGAGAACAACATTTCTAGTTGTCTTTGTCTTAAATGGGTGACCCCCTTATTTAAAAAAAATGTGATCCATAGTTTTAGATTCTTCAAGAATCATAGAATCCCTATAGTGTGGAAACAGGCCCTTTGGCCCAACAAGTCCTCACTGACCCATAGAGCATTCCACCCAGACCCATTCCCCTATAAACCCATCTAATCTACACATCCCTGAACACTATAGGTAATTTACCATGACCAATTCACCTAGCCTGCACATCTTTGGACTGTGGGAGGAAAATGGAGTACCTGGAGGAAACCCATGCAGACACGGGGAGAATGTGCAAACTCCATACAGACAGTCGCCCGAAGGTGGAATCGAACCCGGGTCCCTGGCGCTGTGAGGCAGAGTGCTAACTGTTGAGCCACTACACCGCCCCAAAGAAGAGGAAACATTCTTTCCATATCCTTCCTGTTAAGATCCCTAGGATCTATACTTTTCAATTAAGTTGCCTCTTACTCTTCTAAATTCCAGGGGACATAAGTCCAACCTGTCCAACCTTTCCTCGTAGGGCAATCTGCTGATTCAGGTTTCAGTCATCTAAACCTTCTCTGAACTGTTTTTAGTGTATTTACATTCTTCTATGAATAAGGAGACTACTACTGTGCACAGTACTCCAGATGTGGTTTCACTGTTGCTCTGTATAACTAAAGCATAACCTCCCTGCTTTTGGATTCAATTGCACTCACAAGGAACAATAACTTTCTATTAGTTTTCCCAATTACTTGCTGTGTTTGCATGCTAACCTTTTGCAATTCAAACACACGAACACCCAAATCCATCTGCAGCTCAGAGTTCTGTAACCTCTCATCATTTAGATAATATACTTTTTTTATTCTTCTTGCCAAAATGGACAATGTCACACTTTCCCACATCATATTTGCCAGATTTTTGCCCACTTACTTAATTTATCCCCTGTCTATTTGTAGCCACCTTATATCCTCTTCATCCAAGTCATTTATATCAATTGAAAGCATTGAGGTCCCATCACTGTTCCCTGTGGTGCACCACTATTTACAAATTGCCAACCAAAAATTGAGCCATCCATTCCTACTCTGTTTCCTGTTACTTTTCTAATTGTCTATTGATGTCAATATGCCATCCCTAAACCATGGGCATTTATTTTCCACGATAACCTTTGATGTAGAACCTTATCAAATGCCTCCTGGAAATCTAAATACAATACATCCACCAGATTTCCTTTATCCTTCCTGCATGTTACTCCTTCAGAGAACTCTAATAGTCTGATAAATATGATTTCCCCTTTCATAAAGCTATGTTGACTCTGCCTGATTACTTTGAATTTTCCTAAGTGCCCAACCATAACGTCGTTAATAACAGCTTCTAATATATTTTTATTTAGAATAGAATAGACGATCATTTATTGTCATGTGCACTCAAGTACAGAAGCACAGGAGTACAGTGTAATGTTTCCAATGTTGCCTCCCATGGTGTCATCTTAGAAGCAAAATACCTAGGTACAAATCTTAGATACAAAAAGAGGAATAAAAAGAAAAGAAGTTGCATTACCTTACACTGGGTAATAGTATAGACATAGTTAAAAGGATAAACTTTCCGTCTAATGAACAAGTTACAGACAAACGTTCCATTGCAGTAGCTCAGCACAGGGGCTACCACATGTGGCCTGACTGGCCTCGCAAGCTGCGGACTGCATGCACCGGTCCCCAGTCAGTCCAGTCCAACAACTGTGCCCGGTCTGCTCTACGCCTCCAACCCGCTCCGCTCCAGTCTCAGTTGCTGCACTCTGCTCCAGGCCTCCAGCCCACTCCAATCCAGGCCTCCAGCCCACTCCGCTCCAGTCTTCCAACCCGCTCCGCTCCAGTCTCAGCCGCTCCAGGCCTCCGGCCTGCTCCGCTCCGGCTGTCAGCTGGTCCAGGTGTTAAGTTAACTAGTCAATAGTTTCCTGCTTTCTGTCGCCATCTTTTTTTGAATGAATAAAATAAATGCATCCACTATTTTTGAATTTAATGGTACCTTCCCCTGATCTAGAGAACTTTGGCAAATTAAAA